CTGTAGATGCGCTCCAACACCTCGAGAATGTTTACAGGCGCATCATCGAGAACTGATTAATGCTGGCAAGCAGCACCCTTGTGATTTTTAGACTCCCGCTGTGCTTCTTGTAACTATGCTAGCATATAATTATGCTGGCTTAATTATGGTATAAGGAATGGAAGATGGATTACCCGCTCTTGAGCGTTGACATCGAACGCCTCCTGAAGGCCGAGTGAGCCCGAGGACGGTTCGTTGGGGTCTGTAGGTACGACAGCCTACCACATCTCCACGATGGGCAGTTTTGCATCAGCAACACGGACAACATCTACCCTCTTCATGATGAGGTCGAAGGGGGGCACTACTGGCTAACTGTTTGTTGTACTGGAACGCATGTGCTTGTCTTCGATAGCTTTGGACGTGCGCTCGCTGAAAATATCTGCTCAGCTGCGCAGATATTTTCAGGAGGCCTTTCCCGAGCGGGTCATGGTTACGAATACGTTTGCAGTGCAAAGTCGAGCAACGGCTGTCTGCGGGCGCCATGCTGTCCTGGCGGGGCGGCTGTTTATAGAAGAGGGTTCTGTAGAGGGACTTTTAAAAAGATTAAGAATGATGTTCGACGAAGACAATCTAGCCAATGATCAGAAGGTGCTCGACCTAGTGCCTCTGATCACTGGTGGTGGTCCTGACGATTTTGAAGCTAGAAAGTCGCCTACGACACGTAGTGTCAAAGCCGTCGTCCCGACAAGGCATGGTCGCGTTTCTACGGACGGAAGCGTTGAGGAACGCCTCGCAGAGGTCTACTACAGTCCTGCGGGGTACTGGCGCGGCCGTGCTGCTATCCCAAAGCTGGCTAAAGAGGCTGGCGTCGGCGATGATGTGGCTCATGAATGGCTAACAAAACAGGCCATCTTGCAGATCTACCTGCCCGCACCAGTTCGAAGTGCTATTCCCCGACCTAAGTTTGACATCAGCACCCCGAATGAGGTCCACCAGGCCGATCTCTTGTATCTGCCTCACGATCGAATTGGAAGACGCACATTCAAATACGCATTGACGGTCGTCGATGTAGCAAGTCGGTATAAGGAGGCCCAGGCAATCACAGACAAGATAGCGACCAAGGTTGGGAAGGTGTTAGAGTCTATTTATGCCCGTGGGCCTCTTCGATGGCCTAAAGTTTTACAAGTCAACCCTGGCACGGATTTCCGTGGGCGTAGTCGCCGTCGGTAATGCCTTCGCCCAAGAGCTTGCTGTAGAAAGCCTCCTTCGGCGGGAGGGCCTCCTCGTTGAATCGGGGCCAGCCGTCCATGTACTCGTAGGGGTAGAGCCCCTTCCGGAGCAAGAGGGTACGCCTCTGGAGGTTCGGCTCGTAGTCTGCTGTGATGCGCATGTCTCGCGGGTCACTGGCTTTCACCAGGCCATCCAGGCTTGAGAGCATGAACTGGGCGCTGTCGATAAATCGAAGCTGGCCGATACTGAACGAGATGTATTTCTCAGCGTTGTTCGGGATGCAGGTGACCTCCCCTTCAGTCTCTGCGATAGTCTGCATGATGAGATGGCTGTCGTAGCCCCGCAGGTTGTGAAATACAACCGGTATGGCTGTCGTCTTCGGGCTGAGCCGCAACTTCAGGTTGCACTCATTGTTGTCCGCACCTCGGTACTTGCCAGTAATGTGGCAGTAGTCTTGCACGGAATCGCCTTCGAGGGGCTTGCTGCAGACGTGGCCATTTGTGGCTTTCTTGTGGCTCCCCCAGTCCTTTCCTGTCATGTGCATAGGCTCGGGGTTAGCCAACAACGTCTTGATCTTACGCTCTTCTTCTTGGAGCGCTTCCAGGAAATTCTTGGCTGCGTCGGGCCCTCGGTAGAGCTGCGGCGGCTGCGTTTCCCCGTCTGAACGAACGACTATGAATAAGTAGCCGCATGCCTCGTGTCGTGAGGTTTTCTGCGTTTTGCTCTTTTCAGGGTTAAGCGCGGGGCCCTCGTTTTTGCAGACCGGACTCTCGAAGTCGGCGTAGATTATGAAGGGCGCTTTGAGTTGCTTGTGGTATTTCTCAAAGCGGATTTTGTTGTTTTTTCCGGGGGTTGGCATTCTGATGGCAACCGCAGCCTGGTTGATGCCTCGACATTCAGGCTTATGCTCTTCCAGCAAATCCTGCCTGGTGAAGCCGTGAAGGCAACGCTTACAGAAGTGCAGCCGCTTAGACGGCAAGGAACGACGCCGCCTTCCCAACCGTACACGTTGATAGCAGGGTCGTTCTGACACTCTACTCGTTCCAGCTGGGAGAGCGGTGTGGGTGCGCTACCCCCACATAGTCAAGACCGTCTTCAGTGGGATACTTGCCCGCCCGTTGCGGGTCTCTAGCTGTCTTCGTTTCATCCCACTTAATTTCCATAGGTGGTGGGGGAGAAGTCCTTGTGGGGCGTCGTGGTTTAAATTCAGCCAGGAGCTCATTGATGTATGCGTCCATCTCATCATCAGTAGGCTCGGCGGGCCTGCGCTTGCGTGGTTTGGGGATAGGCCTGCGCTTTCGCGGTTTGGGGATAAGCGGAGTGACATTTCTTTGCGTGGGTGTCGGGTCAGCGGGCGGTTGAAGAGCCTTAAGACGCGTCTACGCTGATTACACCTTGGTCATATAGTTGCAGAAGTTTCTCGACAGTATTCATATCAGTGAATATACCTATCATACGCTATTGGCTAAATGGATGTATCCTAGCATATAGTGAAAATTCAGTTAATATAACTATCATACGCTATTCTCTAAAAGGATGTATCCTAGCATATAGTGAAAATTCAGTTAATATAACTATCATACGCTATTCTCTAAAAGGATGTATCCTAGCATATAGTGACAATTCGGTTAATATAACCTATCATACGCTATTCTCTAAATGGATGTATCCTAGCATATAGTGAAAATTCAGTTAGTATAACCTACCATACGCCCTTCTTTAAATAGTAATTCCCGGCCTCCACATCGCTGAGGACCAGGCAAAACTGCCTTCGTGCTCGGGCCTCTTTTCTACGAAGGCGAGCTTTTCCGGCTTGCTGGCCACAATCTGCGCATCGTTGCGCCTCTGCCTGCGTGCTGATACCACAACCCTGACATGGGACCGGCACCGGCGAGCCACGCCGGATTTGTTGCAGATGCACTCTACAATACTTCCCATACATGACTTTCCACACGGTTCTCTAGTGTGGACCTTCACCCACGCGCACTTGTTCTTGCCCTGACTCATGGCTGTCGATTGTTTGGATATACGCTGTGAGTTTGGATATACGCTGTGAATCGTCTTTCTTCAAATGACTGACGGCCGGCGGAGGGCACCGCCTTAACCCCGACGTCCGTTGTCCAGAGTTTGGCCTTCGCTGTCATTATGCTAGCATAATTACAAGAAGTACATACGCGAGCTAGGGCTGGGGCGCTTAGATTTGTGTATACTCCTTCTCAAACTGTGAGGTTTGCCAGAATTGGTGCGATTTTTGTCGGGACCCATGTATACACACAGTACGAAGTAATGTGTAAATGAACTAGGGCTGGGGCGCTCAGATTTATGTACGCAGCCCCCCAGACCGGGGTTGCGCCAAAACTGGCAGTATCTATACTACTTGGCATCAGATTTTTTGTCCATTGAAATATATTTGCAGGAATGTAGGATTTCGCTGCCATATAAAGGCCACGATTCGCCAAGCACTAAAGAAATCATAGCTAAAAGTCCTTCGGCAACAACAATTTTAGAAGAATCAATCTGCTTATCATACGCCATGTTGACATAAATCGCATCACACACTCGCATAAATTGACTTTGATATTATACATTCATGCATACACTTCAGTTGTCATTTACTTACGATTTTGGATGTAAATTTCGGCTGATAAAACTCGAAACAAATTTGGCTTACTTTTGAACATCAATGACTGAAATGTCGCTCGCAAGATCGTCTTTGCCAAGCATTTACAATTTATCCCTAAATTTTTCACCCTCTTGAAAAAATTCACAGTTTGGACAGAAGCATTCATGTCAATATATGAATTTGTAAAAGATTTCCATAAATTCCATTTGATTGTAGATTAGTTTCTATCTGATAGTTTAAATTTTAAACCTTACGTGAAACATAATGTTAAATGGACTGCGTAAAATTTTGTGTAAATTTACGCAATTAATTGCGTAAATCATCTCATTTAAATAAAATTTTGAATTTTGTCAACTTAAAACTACGGTAAAATCTTAACTTACTTTTTTGAATTGAAAATATACAAATTTCTTTGAGTAAACAATTTGCTCATTTTTGTGTAAATTGTTATACACAAAATCATGTAGAGCAGAGCGTTAAAGTGAAGAGTTGCGCAATTTAGACAAGTTTTACAATGTTTTGTAATAAGTGTAATCAAATTAATTTTTAAGTTGACTCATAAAATATATGTTATTTACCGGAAGGGATGTCTGCACGGAAAATATATTTTCACGAGTTCTTAAAAATCCAGTAATCCACATATAATCGATGCATGTTATCTTTACTTTGACTAGCGCCGCATATGCTGCATGACGCTGTCAGCTAGTTAGTATTACGACTATTAATATATAATTGGTCTTGTAGTATACATGTCTTATTGATCAATGTAATTTTCTACACAATAAACGACTATCTCTTTATACCTATTTATAAATGTGTTTTAATGGAAATTTTACTCTAAAACCTGTGTTGCTGTAAATGCATTGTCTGTTTCTATATTTACCTACAATTTTGTGTTATACATTTTTCCAAAAGTGTGTAATTCATCCTTTCACTCAAAATATTAAATTTACCAATAGTTTTATGTAGTCTATACACTAGCGTTTGTGTCACTGTGGATACACATTTTACTGAAATTTTTGTGTACAATTTACACAACATTTTTTGCAGTTAAAAACCCATTATCTTGGGTGGTGTGTTTTTATTCCATACAAATGCATTTCAGACTTTTCTTATATTCTATAACAACTAATATGGCTGTTTAACTTTCGATTTCTTCTTCGTTCAGTCAAAAGCTGTGATTTTCAAAAGGGACTGGGAACTACTTTATGTCCATGGCACAACGTAGAAGGTGACGATGACTTTGACTGGAAACTTAGTACATCATACTCATCATTTCGTTGGGATCCACCACGCTATGATGCTACAGGCTTCAGTATTGGTAAGATGACAGCGTTTATAGTGAATAAGTGTTGTATGTACAACTGCTTGAATTAAAAAAAGAAAAATGATGAAGAGTACTTAAGATTTTGTCTTTAAATGACAACTCGGATTTTAAATGTCAATCAGTAAGTTACTCCTTAATAAAATCTAACGTCATAAATATATTGCTGGATCTAAAATAGATACTTACTTAAAATTAAAATCAGATGTAGTTTCATTCAGCTAAAAGACACAAAAATAGATGATAATTTTATAGCTATTATGGTTTTTTCAAAAATTTTGTTTATTGAATTTGTTAAACTACAATAATTTTATATTTCTTTATATATAAAGTCCACATATATCTTACATTTCTTCATGTGTTGTAGGACGATATCTTCGTTTTGGATCATTTATTTCAGGCAAAGCTTGGTTGGTTGGAAACTATCGAAACGACTCTCTCGTGTGTTTTTCATTTTCGTATTATATTGTCAGTCATTATAATACATTAAATATCTACCAAGAATATTTTCACAATGGATACAATCCCTTACTGTGGTCATTAAGTGGTGATCAAGGAACTAAGTGGAAAAAAGGCCAAGTCACAGTTAATTTTACAATGGGTCTATCTAGGGTAGGCAACTTACACATATTTATACAACTTAAAATTAATTTTCGGCAATTTGTCCAAGCCGCTTACTTTTTCTTCATAGTTAATCGTTGAAGCTGTCGTGCGTAGAGACAAAGACAACAATGTAGCTCTCGACAATCTTACTTTTGCTCTAGGAAGCTGCGACACAATACCAAAGGTGGCCATTCCTAGCAATGCTTTTGGTAAGTATTTGTTTTCTTGGAATGTGAAGTGTTTTGCTTGATCAATCTTTTGCTTTAATGTTCTTGAAAATTTTCTAAACTTTTCATTTGGTTCATAGTTAACTTACATAATGGAACAAAAAACATTGAATACAATAAATAAATCAACTGTAAACTTTCAATTGTCACTCGACGTTTTATTTTCAAAAATTGTCTTTTCAGATTGTTCCAATGGTTCATTTTTCTCGTTTCTAAATAAGAAATGCAACAAATGTCCCAGTTCTACTTACCAGCCGTACACAAATCAAACTCGTTGTCTTACCTGTAATGAGAGTAAAGGTACCATCAATATTGGCGCTGTGAGTGAACAAGAATGTATAAAAGGTAATTTTTAAGGTGTCACTTCAGTGCTGAAAAATTAATATACTATGAATATTTTTCCACTTTTCCTTGGTTTTTATATTAAGAGGCATAATGTAAAAAGTTGTATATACCTTGCTTGCACGGCTAGATTTGATAATGTACTGATATTTCATATGTTAATTTTTTAAAAATTTGTACTTTTGGCAAGTCTTTTGATGCTCCATTCCGTACAATAGAAGTGAAGACAAGGCGTGTTGTTGACTTTGTTTATCTATTTTATAAATCAGTACTTTGAAAATATTTTCTTATGATTTTTTCAATTATTGAATATCAAGAAATATTTGTTTTGATTACAAAAGTAAGTTTGTGGTTCAAGGGCTTCGCAAGGAGCTCAAAGAGAAGCGCAAACCTTGAAACAGACAGCAAAATAAATGCTTTCCTCCTTTGAATAAATCCAATAAAAGCTTCACATGAATCTTAGTCTCATTTCCAGCTCTTTCGTTTGTTGATCTCAACCTTTTTGGAAAGGCCTTAACTATATTGGAACATGAACATTTACCTGTTAACAAAAGCAATGCTGAATGCCTTACTACAAAGAGAAGAGTTGCGTCAGTAGCTTATACGCAGGCTATGTCTCGTTTAACCACTTATTTTTATTTAAATTCATCACGTGAGTAGCTCTCACCAGAATGAGGTTCGAACAAATATTCTTCTGAAAGCAATTCAAAAGTTGGAAAAGCACGGCACTATATAAATAAAACAAAAATAACATCACTTTCTCTAACTTCTGAAATAACAATAATTCTAATATACTACCAAATACATCGCTGTTAAATTGCATCGTAAAATTTGTATTGAGGTTAAAACAAGAGAGTTGATAAAATAAACGTAATGCTGCTTTTTTCAAAATTCCCTATAACGTAAAAGTTACAAAGACAGGCCAATAGCTTACATTCCATATAAAAAAGGTTTTAACGTTCATAATTTGCATGTTGTTTATACAGGGTTTATATATAAAAAAAATTGAACAAGCAGAAAAACCTCTCTAAATTCATCAGCGCGCAAGATCTTCAAAAGCCTTTAGTGAAATAGGTAGTTCGACTTCCAATAACTGGTTCATCTGACAGAGACGTTTGGCAAATAAAAACGATTTCGTGGGAAAATTGTGCTACCGAAAAATACTTTTGAAAAAACTCTTGCTCAAAAATCAAAAGAATAAAAAGCCATTGGAACAAGAAAGGTTAAAATATGGTACATGTTGTTCAAGGTTACAAAGTTTTAGGAAATTAGGTATAACCTTATACAAACACTTGGCATTCAAATTGCAGATTATTTAGCGTTTTTTTTATTTGCCATGTTTTGAAACCTTCATGAATTAGTCAAATTTGATTTAATTTACCCTCAAATTTATGCATAACTAATAACGACTATATCAAAATTCCATTTAAAAATGAAAAATTCAAAGCAATTCGCAACTTAAAAGCTATGCATTCGCATACTCATTAACAAAACTTCCTAAAACTTTGTTACCTTTAAAAACATACGTCATATTGTAACCCTATATCTTCCAATTTCTTTTTACCTAAATGATTTTTATGCGCAAGCTATTTCAAATGAGCTTCTCTGTAAAACAATTTTTACGTTTTAAATTTTTCTTATTTGAGGCAATTTTCTTCTCAAATAACGCCTTGGAAATGCAGCTGACTATTTCCACGAAACGTGTTTGCAAATCGTATGCCCAAATGACTTTAGTGTCGTTTTCCAAACTTTTCAGGGTTTTTTGACACACCCTGTAGAGTAGAATTACCATTATTATCGTTTAAATAACACGCACACTAGGTAGATTTTTTGCACTGCCTACTAATTCCAAAAGCTTTGCAAGCAAAACAGGTAGAAGAATTTTAATTCTTGTTGCAAACTTTAGTGTTAATAAGTTGTTTGGTAAAATTCATGATAAATTTAGTGAACATTAAAGATGTCTGTGTGTCCACGACTTCGGTGACTGGAAATCTTTTAGCACAATTTCAAGTTTTTCTGCTAAACATTCGACAAATGTTGTCAAACAACAAAGAAGAATTGATAAATAATTTAAAAAGCAAAATCATTTTTACCTTTAAAAGTTTATGATGCTTTTATCATTTAATCTGCAGTGGAACATAGCGTTGCTTAAAATCTGTTGCATTGTGTGGTGTGTTTTTGTTTCATACAAATACATTTTAGGCTTCTGCTTTATTTTTAACAACTAATATGGCTATTCAAATCTCGATGTTTTTCCCATTCAGTCGAAAACTGTGATTTTCAAAAAGGACTGGGAACAACTGTTTGTCCATGGCGCAATGTGGAAGTAGACGATGACTTAAACTGGGAACTTGATACTGCATATAGAAACTCAATTTATGACGCTTCTGGTTCTAATTTTGGTAAGATTGAAGTGATTTATAATAAAGAGACATTAGATTTTGAACAGTTTAACCAGCTGACAGCTTAAGCTGCAATAAGTAAAATGATAGAGGTCATTTAATAAAATTTTGTCTTCAAAAATGACAACTCAGATTTTAAATGCTTGTCATCAATAATTACAAAATAAACACAATGTAATGCGTGCGCTGATTGGTTTAGAGCTGTGTTTGCATTAGCGTGGGAATAATGATCTGAGCTCAACCAATCAAATCAACCAATCCATCAAAAAGAATTTGCAAATCAATAATGAATACACGTTGACGAATATTAAAACGTTATTTTTGTTTTGCATTATTGTTATTTTACAAAAGAAATAAAAGTGTTTTTCGTGTTTGCACTGGCTTATGCAAACTTCGAAGGCTTATGCAAACTAGTGCAAGCCCGAGACCGAAGTTCGAGGGTTGCACCTGCTCGAGAGTTCTCACAAACGTCTCCTAGGTTTGCATAAGCAAGTTCAAGCACGAAAAACATCTTTCATTTCTTATATAAAATAACAATAATTCGAGACAAAAAAACATTTTAATTTTTTCTCTAAAATGTATTCATAATTGATTTTCGAATTCTCTTTCGCTGATTTATTGTTATGATTGATTTGATTGGTTGGGCTCGGATGTGTTTAGCACAGGCTAATGTTAACACAGTTCTAGATCAATCAGCCCACGCGTTTCAATGTGCTTATTTTATAATTCTTAATTAAAATCTTGTTTATGAAATCTAATGTTACGTATATTTTGCTTGGTCTAAATTAGATAATTAAAGACTTTACAGTTAAAATTAGTTTTAAAATCAATTTCGTTTTTATATTTGGAATTTTTTTATTGAATTTTTAAACTGCGATATATTTGTATTCATAAATTTATGCCAGAAAACTAGGTGAAGTAAATTTTATACCTACACAAAAAAACGGCTGTATCTAACTGCACAAAGCGTGCCAAAAGCATCAATCTTATTATGAGCGACCTTGTAAGTAATTTTAGATAAATGTGTTATCAATAAATATTCATTCTTTTTTATATAGTCTACATATATGTTATATTTCTTCATTTGTTGCAGGACGATATCTTTATTTTTTATATAAATAGTCTACATATATCTTACGTTTCTTCATGTGTTAAAGGACGATATGTTTATTTTTTATATATATAGTCTACATATAACTTACAATTCTTCATGTGTTGTAGGACGATATCTTCGTTTGGGATCATATATTTCAGGCAAAGCTTGGTTGGTTGGAAACTATCGCAACGACTCTCTCGTGTGTTTTTCATTTTCGTATTACATGTATCGCAGTTATAATGAGACAATGAATATCTACCAAGAATATTTTCACAAAGGATACAATCTTTTACTGTGGTCATTAAGTGGTGATCAAGGAACTAAGTGGAGAAAAGGCCAAGTCACAGTTAATTTTACAATGGGTCTATCTAGGGTACGGAACTTACACATATTATACAACTTAAAATTAAACTTCGGCAATTTGTCCAAGCCGCTTACTTTTTCTTCATAGTTAATCGTTGAAGCTGTCATGAGTGGATACGAAACATACTTTGTAGGTCTCGACAATCTTGCTTTTGCTCCAGGAAGCTGTGACACAATACCAAAGGTGGCCATTCCTGGCAATGCTTTTGGTAAGTATTTGTTTTCCTGGATTGTGAAGTGTTTTGCTTGATCACTTTTGTTGTTTTTATGTTCTTGGAAATTTTCTAACTTTTTATTTGGTTCATAGTTAACTTACATAATGAGACAGGAAACATTGAATACAATAAATAAATCAACTGTAGAATTTTAATTATCAGTCAACGTTTTATTTTCATTAATCGTCTTTATAGATTGTTCAATTGGTTCATTCTTTTCCTTTAAAAGTAAGAAATGTGAAAAATGTCCCATCTATACATATCAACCATATCCAAAACAAACTCGTTGTCTTCCCTGTAATGAGAGTAAAGGTACCATCAATGTTGGTGCAGTGAGTGAACGAGAATGTATAAAAGGTAATTTTTATTATTATTAGTAAAATTTCTGTTTTGAAAAATCAATGTATTATAAACATATTTTTGTTTTTATGTTTTCCTTATTTTCTACTAAATGGAATAATCCCCAACGTAAAACTTGTACATACCTTGTTTGCAGAACTAGATTTGATAATATACTTATATGTCGTATGTTATTTCGTAAAAATCCGTATTTCTTGCACGTCTTTCAACGCTCCATTCTGTGACGATAGAAATGAAGACACTACTTGTTGATTTTCTTTATCAATTTTATGAAGCAGCATTTTAAAAATATCTATTCATAATTTTTGTAATTTTGAACATCGGAAGTATTTGCGTTGATTTTAACCTTGGTTATCTATACATAACCACATGAAGGAAACACTTTGACAAAATACTAAAACAACAAATTTATACTGAAACCATGTATAATTGAACAACAATGTATATATGGTAATTTTCAGCATTGCTACTTACAATTCAGTATTAAAAAATCACTGTATTGTATAGTTAATATATTGATAAGTTTTTGCTGTCACTACTTGGTGTTTTACGCCATAGGGCGATCTTCAGGAAACTGACAGATAATTTATTATTTACTGTATATGCAATTGGTTATTAGGTACTAGATTACATAACGGCATGCACTACAATAAAGCATGTCTGGATTACCATTCTTTAAACTTATATATATGTACTTTAGAAAGATAAAAGTTTATCCGGATAAGTTATTTTATTAATGGTGGATTTAGGTGATTGAATGACGTGAAATATGTTGTTGTGGGTTTGGGTGTATTGTGAATAGGATTGTGATAATATATATTATTACCGTGAGTTGCTGTGGTTTGAGTGCGTTCTGTTCTCTTAGCCTTTTCGGTGTTACAATAAGTGTTGATTCTGATGAAAAGGTGTTCGTATGCAGCATATTTTGTGTTGTGTTGGGTGATTGATGTTGAAATCAAATATTTGGTCTGTGTGGGTCGTTTTGCAGCACAATATTTGTGTTTAGTGTGCTGTTCTAGTCAGTAGGATACAGAGAAAAGTAAGTTGTTTTTCATGTCTTCATCTTTAGTAAAGGTTATGTTTATTATTGTATTGTTTAAGGTTTGTAGGATTTGTTCAGTTTTGTGTTTCTTGAAACTGGCAAAGATGTCGTCGACACATCTTTTCCTCAGTCTGATGTCTGTGTTGTTAGTGACTGATTGTGATTCGAGTTGTTGCATTATAATTTCTGCGGTGAAGGTGGATAGTGGTGACACAATTTGTGTGCCTGAAATTTGTCCATGGTATGAGTTCTGTAAGGAGAATTCAGTGAAGAGGCAAAGACTGAGTAAGTCTAAGATGTCATTTTTGTCAAGTTGTGTCGTGGCTTGCCAAGATTTGTCGTTTGTAAATAGTTCGTTTTTAATACTTTGGCTGTGTCTACTAGTATGGATGTGAAGAGTAATGTCACGTCGTAAGATATCATAACTGTGTCTGTGTCTGGTTGTAGTTTAACGGTGTCAATGTTGACGAGGAAGGTGGTGGCGTTTTTGATGGTGTGAGGCGAACTTTTGACTAGAGAATAAAGAATGTTACATAGATATTTTGATAGTTCATATTTAGGTGATCCTGGAAGAGGTACGATTTGTTGTATATAATTTAGCTATTTCTTTGTTTTCTATTAATAATATAGGAATAATCCGTAAAATTTGTAGATATACCTTGTTTGCATGGCTAGAGTTGATAATGCACTGATATTTCATATGCCTATAAAGTAAAATCCATATTTCTAGCACGTCTTTCAACGCTGCATTCTGGTACGATAGAAATAAAGACAGTGCATGTTGTTGATTTTCTTTAACAATTTTATGGAGCAGTAGTTTGAAACTATTTACATATGATTTTTCAATCATTGAACATCATAAATATTAGCGTTGATTTGTTTCGTTGTTATTTATATATAACACGCTTACGAAATATTTTAACAAATTGCTAGTTCAGAATATACCCCAAATATCGCATTTAAATTGCATATAGTAAAATTTGTATTTAGGTTAAAAAGTATATAAAGTAGACTTATATATAATCTTTTCTTCAAAATACTTGAAAAGTTACCAAGACAGTCCACATAACATTTAAAAAGCAATTTTAACATTCATAATCTACAATTCGACATATTTTTAATAGTAAAGTTACCGTGGGTTTTACAAATATATTAAGTATATAGAACGATCTTCACTCTTGCTGGAAGAAATTTTTGTCATTAAGTTGTTTAGTGAAATTCTTGATAAATTTAGTGAACATTAAAGATTTTTGTGTGTCGACGACTTCTGAGACTGGAAACGTTTTTACACAATTTCGAGTTTTTTGCTGAACTTTCAGCAAACGTAGCCAAATTACAAACAAGAATTGCTGATTGATTAAAACGTAAAATAATTTGTGTATTTATAAGTTTGATGCTTTTATCATTTAAACCAGGGTCTCCAAACTACGGCACGCGGGCCAGATGCGGCCCGTTGGGCCTCTCAATCCGGCCCGCAGAGACACTTAAGAAAGCCAATTTCACCACTCACATTGAGAAAACTGAACAGACTAATTGTGATTTTGTTATGATATTACACTTTGTTGAAATTTAACCTTTAAATTTTGAATAAATATTTTCTTAACTAATGAAGCTTGTGTTATGTACTTCGTTTTATTAAAATATTCGCTCTTTGACCAGCGGTATACGATTCGTCGGCCCTCAACATGCTGGATGAAAGTCGTGTGGCCCTCTGGCTGTAAAGTTTGGAGACCCTGATTTAAACCTTACGTGAAACATAATGTTAAATGGACTGCGTAAAATTTTGTAAATTTACGCAATTAATTGCGTAAATCATCTCATTTAACTAAAATTTTGAGTTCTGTCAACTTAAAACTACGGTAAAATCTTAACTTACTTTTTGAATTGAAAATATACAAATTTCTTTGAGTAAACAATTTGCTCATTTTGTGTAAATTGTTATACACAAAATCATGTAGAGCAGAGCGTTAAAGTGAAGAGTTGCGCAATTTAGACAAGTTTTACAATGTTTTGTAATAAGTGTAATCAAATTAATTTTAAGTTGACTCATAAAATATATGTTATTTACCGGAAGGGATGTCTGCACGGAAAATATATTTTCACGAGTTCTTAAAAATCCAGTAATCCACATATAATTGATGCATGTTATCTTTACTTTGACTAGCGCCGCATATGCTGCATGACGCTGTCAGCTAGTTAGTATTACGACTATTAATATATGCTTGGTCTTGTAGTATACATGTCTTATTGATCAATGTAATTTTCTACACAATAAATGACTATCTCTTTATACCTATTTATAAGTGTGTTTTAATAGAAATTTTACTCTAGAACCTGTGTTGCTGTAAATGCATTGTCTGTTTCTATATTTACCTACAATTTTGTGTTATACATTTTCCCAATAGTGTGTAATTCATCCTTTCACTCAAAATATTAAATTTACCAATAGTTTTATGTAGTCTATACACTAGCGTTTGTGTCACTGTGGATACACATTTTACTGAAATTTTTGTGTACAATTTACACAACATTTTTTGCAGTTAAAAACCCATTATCTTGTGTGGTGTGTTTTTATTCCATACAAATGCATTTCAGACTTTTCCTATATTCTATAACAACTAATATGGCTGTTTAACTTTCGATTTCTTTTTCGTTCAGTCAAAAGATGTGATTTTCAAAAGGGACTGGGAACTACTTTATGTCCATGGCACAACGTAGAAGGTGACGATGACTTTGACTGGAAACTTAGTACATCATACTCATCATTTTATGACCCACCACGCTATGATGATACAGGCTTCAGTATTGGTAAGATGGCAACGTTTATAGTGAATAAGTGTTGTATGTACAACTGCTTGAATTAAAAAAAGAAAAATGATGAAGAGTATTTAGGATTTTGTCTTTAAATGACAACTCGGATTTTAAATGTCAATCAGTAAGTTACTCCTTAATAAAATCTAACGTCATAAATATATTGCTGGATCTAGAATAGATAATTACTTAAAATTAAAATCAGGTGTAGTTTCATTCAGCGAAAAGACACAAAACTAGATGATAATTTTATAGCTATTATGGTTTGTTAAAAAATTTTCTTTATTGAATTTGTTAAACCACGATAATTTTATATTTCTTTATATATAAAGTCCGCATATATCTTACAATTCTTCATGTGTTGTAGGACGATATTTTTATTCTTTATATATATAGTCTACATATATCTTACATTTCTTCAGTTGTTGTAGGACGATATCTTCGTTTGGGATCAGATATTTCAGGCAAAGCTTGGTTGGTTGGAAACTATCGCAACGACTCTCTCGTGTGTTTTTCATTTTCGTATTACATGTATATCAGTTATTCTGTTGGGTCATTAAATATTTACAAAGAATATTTTCACAATGGATACATTCTTTTACTGTGGTCATTAAGTGGTGATCAAGGAACTAAGTGGAAAAAAGGCCAAGTCACAGTTAATTTTACCATTGGTCAATCTAGGGTAGGCAACTTACACATATTTATACAACTTAAAATTAAACTTCGGCAATTTGTCCAAGCCGCTTACTTTTTCTTCATAGTTAATCGTTGAAGCTGTCGTGCAAAGATACACAAAAATCGTTGTAGCTCTCGACAATCTTGCTTTTGCTTCAGGAAGCTGCGACACAATACCAAAGGTGGCCATTCCTAACAATGCTTTTTGTAAGTATTTGTTTTCTTGGAGTGTGAAGTGTTTTGCTTGGTCACTCTTGTTGTCTTTATGTTCTTGGAAATCTTCTAACTTTTCATTTGGCTCATAGTTAATTACATAATGACACAGGAATTATTGAATACAATAAATAAATCAATTGTAAACTGTCAATTGCTAATCGATTATTGGTTTTCAATGATCTATTTCAAGGGGATCCAATGCAGCAATAGAGCCACATGACTTTCATCCAGCATGTTGAGGGCCGACGAATCATATACCGCTGGTCAAAGAGCGAAGATTTTAATAAAACGAAGTACATAACACAAGCTTCATTAGTTAAGAAAATATTTATTCAAAATTTAAAGGTTAAATGTCAACAAAGTGTAATATCATAACAAAATCACAATTAGTCTGTTCAGTTTTCTCAATGTGAGTGGTGAAATTGGCTTTCTTAAGTGTCTCGGCGGGCCGGATTGAGAGGCCCAACGGGCCGCATCCGGCTCGCGGGCCGTAGTTTGGAGACCCCTTATCTAGTTTATAGATTGTTCCATTGGTTCATTCTTTTCATTTCAAAGTAAGAAATGTGAAAAATGTCCCATATTTACATATCAACGATACACAAACCAAACTCGTTGTCTTACCTGTAATGATGGTAAAGGTACCATCAGTAAGTGAACAAGAATGCATAAAAGGTAATTTTTGACATTGTGTCACTTCAGTGCTGATAAATCTATATAAGCTTAATGTGCGTATGCTTACATATTTATATATATACAAAAAGTGTAAAACAATGTGCCCTCCCGGCTATCACCGTTGTAAAATCGGGACCACTGCACTTGGGACACAGGAAGTACGGTTACACATTGTATGGATTATCATTAAGTTGTTTGGTAAAATTAATGATAGATTTAGTGAACATAAAGTTATCTGTGTGTCCACGACTTCAGAGACTGGAAATTTTTTTTACACAATTTCGAGTTTTTTTGCTGAAGTTTCAGCAAACGTTGACAAAATACAAACAAGAATTGTTAATTGATTAAAAAAGTAAAATCATTTCATATTCATAAGTTTGGTGCTTTTAGCTTTTGAACCTGCTGTGAAACATAATTTTGCATAGACTGCATAAAATTTTGTGTAAATTTGCATAAAATTTACGCAATAATTAGCGTAAATCATCTCATTTAACTCAGAATTTTAAATTTTGTCAACATAACAATACGGTAAAGTCTTAACTTTCGTTTTTAAGCTAAAAATATACGAAATTTCAGGTAATTCAATCGTTTAAGCAATTTTTTGTGTTGAAAATACACATATTTCTTTGAGTAAACAATTTGCTCATTTTTGAGTAAATTGTTACACACAAAATCATAAAGAGCCGTGCGTTAAGGTGAAGAGTTGTGCAATTAAGACAAGTTTTACAAAGTTTTGCGACAAATGTAATGAAATTAATTTTTAAGTCAACTCATAAAATATATGTTATTTACCGGATGGGAGGTCCGTACGGAAAAAATATTTTCACGAGGTCTCAAAAATCCAGTAATCCACAAATATAATCGATACATGTTATCTTTTCTTTTACTAGCGCTGCATATACTGCAAGACGCTGTCAGCTAGTCAGTATTTCGACTATAAATATATTCTTGGTCTAGTGGTATACATGTCTTATTGATCAATGTAATTTTCTACACAATAAGGGACTATCTCTTTATACCTATTTATAAGTTTGTTTTAATAGATATTTTACTCTAAAACCTGTGTTGCTGTAAATGCATTCTCTGTGTGTACATTTACTAGTAATTTTGTGTAATACAATTACCCATAAGATGTGTAATTCATCCTTTTACTCAAAATATTGTGTTCAGTTGATACATTGATATTATGTAAATTTACAAATAGTAGTATGTATTCTGTACACTACTGTTTGTGACACTGTGGATACACATTTTACTGAAATTTTTGTGTACAATTTACACAACATTTTTACAGTTAAAACCCATCATCTTGTGTGGTTTGTTTTGGCTCCCTACAAATGCATTTCAGACTTTTTCTATATTCTATAACAACTAATATGGCTGTTTAACTTTCGATTCCTTTTTTGTTCAGTCAAAAGATGTGATTTTCAAAAGGGACTGGGAACTACTGAATGTCCATGGCACAACGTAGAAGGTGACGATGACTTTGACTGGAAACTTCGTACATCATACTCATCATTTTATGACCCACCACGCTATGATGCTACAGGCTTCAGTATTGGTAAGATGGCAACGTTTATAGTGAATAAGTGTTGTATGTACAACTGCTTGAATTAAAAAAAGAAAAATGATGAAGAGTGTTTAGGATTTTGTCTTTAAATGACAACTCAGATTTTAAATGTCAATCAGTAAGTTATTTCTTAATAAAATCTAACGTCATAAATTTATTGCTGGATCTAAAATAGATACTTACTAAAATTAAAATCAGGTGTAGTTTCATTCAGCTAAAAGACACAAAAATAGATGATAATTTTATAGCTATTATGGTTTGTTAAAAAAAATTGTTTATTGAATTTGTTAAACCACGATAATTTTATATTTCTTTATATATAAAGTCCACATATATCTTACAATTCTTCATGTGTTGTAGGACGATATCTCTATTCTTTGTATATATGTACAGTCTACATGTATCTTCTATTCGTTCAAGCGTTGCAGGACGATATCCTTATTCTTTTTTATGCTGTCTACATATATCTTACATTTCTTCATGTGTTGTAGGACAATAGCATGGTAAGGTGAGTAAGATGATAAATATTGGTTGTTACTTAATATAATTACGCTTGTAAATTGTGAGATGTGGATGACTTGAAGTTTAGTTTTGTGAAGCAAAGTGGAGGGCAATGATGACTTTGACTGAAGACTTAGTTCACTATATAGAAGATCACGTTATAATGACGACAGCCTTAGTTTTGGTATGATTTCATTTATATATAGTAGAGAGGCTTTATTGATGAATTAGATGAAGATCGTTTAGGGAGATTTTGTTTTCAAAAATGACCACTTTGGTTTTGAACTGAGCTGAAATTCCTTTTGAATTTAGTTGATGACATGTCACACGAGCAAGCTGCAGACAGTCAACGCTCAGATAAAGCTTCCTTTTAATTTCTTTAAGAATATTATTGTTTGCTTTGTTTTTCTGTATTGTTTTTAAGTTCTTTATAGCAAGTGCTTAATATGCATGGCAACCTTTAGAGAGGAGATTGGTAGTTCTGCCATTGAATGAATCAGCTAAAAGCGCAAGATTTTTCACCCATAAATGTTTTAAAATCGGTGGGACAAATCAGTAATTGCTATTTCCTCTCATCACAACAATGCTCTTGTCATCAAATCTCTTCTTCAACTTAGCATTAACGTTTTTTGTGATCTCGTACAGGATCGATATTTATGGAATAAATATCGATCTAGTAGCACAGTAGCTTCTTGAATACTAACAAGTTGTACATTCTTGGGAATATCAACATACTTGGCCATTCTTTAAGTCTCATTTGAGAACACTTAGAACTTCTCTCTTACGTTACAGGCTTTCAACGTTATATTGAACAAAGCATTAGGACTTTGGTCATACTAATCGTAAACATGTCTGAAGAAAATTTAGGTGTCGTAGTGATATATACTTAATTATCTTGATGTATCAAATAAAAAGATGATTGATACAACATCTTTAGCCAGAGCACTAAAAGTAGCTAGCAGCATAACAAAAGGAAACGTTGAAGTTTGCTTCAACTTAATAAAAATAACTACTGCCATATGCAAAATCAAAAAGCTAGTATCTTTGAGGAAACAAATTTTTCTTAATTTTTTTATTTTCAAAAGCTCTGACTGGTTAAAGCTACAAACAAACAACAACAATCGAAATTGGAAAGTTTTAATTTTCTGTCCACCCTTGACAAACTGTCAAATTTTCGCCGTCATGAGAATTATAGGGTTCCCCGATGGAGGTGATTTAGCCGCCCCTAATCGTCCTCTTGCGCTACCCCTGAACAACGATAATTTTATATTCATAAATTTATAAAAAAAAACTTGGTGAAATAAATTTTACAATTACACATAGATCTTACTTATCTTACTGTACAAGGTGTTTTGAACAACATAAATCGATCTCTTTATGAGCATTAATGTAATGGTTGATCTAGCAATCTTAAATAAATGATTTATCAACAAATATGCATTTTTTATATATATAGTTTACATATATCTTGCATTGTTTTATGTGTTGTAGGACAATATCTTTCAGCTTTCATAAGAGACCTTTCAACAGGCAAAACTTTGTTGGCGGGAATTTATCGCAACGACTCTCTCGTGTGTTTTTCATTTTCGTATTAGATGTATAGCAGTTATTCTGCTTGGTCATTAAATATCTACCAAGAATATTATCACAATGGATACAATCTTTTACTGTGGTCATTAAGTGGTGATCAAGGAACTAAGTGGAAAAAAGGCCAAGTCACAGTTAATTTTACAATGGGTCTATCTAGGGTACGGAACTTAGACATACTTATTCAACTTTAAACTTTGTCAATTAGTCCAAGCACTTACTTTTTGTTCATAGTTAATCGTTGAAGCTGTTTTGAGGCATTACTACAACTTTGCAGCTATCGACAATCTTGCTTTTGCTCCAGGAAGCTGTGACACAATACCAAAGGTGGCCATTCCTAGCAATGCTTTTGGTAAGTATTTGTTTTCTTGGAATGTGAAGTGTTTTGCTTGATCAATCTTTTGCTTTAATGTTCTTGAAAATTTTCTAAACTTTTCATTTGATTCATAGTTAACTTTTCATTTGATTCATAGTTAACATAATGAGACAGGAAACATTGAATACAATAAATAAATCAACTGTAGAATTTTAATTGTCAGTCAACGTTTTATTTTCATTAATCGTCTTTATAGATTGTACAATTGGTTCATTCTTTTCCTTTAAAAGTAAGAAATGTGAAAAATGTCCCATCTATACATATCAACCATATCCAAAACAAACTCGTTGTCTTCCCTGTAATGAGAGTAAAGGTACCATCAATGTTGGTGCAGTGAGTGAATGAGAATGTATAAAAGGTAATTTTTATTGTTATTAGTAAAATTTCTGTTTTGAAAAATCAATGTATTATAAACATATTTTTGTTTTTATGTTTTCCTTATTTTTTCTACTAAATGGAATAATCCCCAACGTAAAAACTTGTACATACCTTGTTTGCAGAACTAGATTTGATAATATATTTATATGTCGTATGTTATTTCGTAAAAATCCGTATTTCTTGCACGTCTTTCAACGCTCCATTCTTTCACAAAAGGTTACTTATCGACATGCGCAAGTAACTTGTATGCAGTTGGTACGAATGGAGAATTTTATAAAGATTCTCCACCTACACATGCATACGATAACTGGATTGGTCGTGCAACGACAATTGGCAATTCAGGTTGGGCCAGCTTCAAGTTCCTCTTTTTTGGACCTGGCGGACCTTGTATGCAGTTGCTACAAATGGAACATTTTGGAAAGGTTCTCCACCTACAGATGAAAACGATAACTGGTTTGGTCGTGCAACGAAAATTGGCACTGGAGGTTGGGCCAAATTCAAATTTCTGTTTTTCGGTCCCGATTTAAACCTGTACGCCGTAAGACCAACAGGAAATCAGTTTCTAACGTCGTACGAACCAAGAAATGCGCTCGACAACTGGGAAGGTCGCGCCACGAGCATCGGCATAGGAGGTTGGCACGACTTCAAATTCCTATTCTTTGGTCCTGAAGGCTATCTTTACGCTGTGTCAAATGATGGTTCATTTCGAAAAGCCCCACATCCAACATACCCTATGGATAACTGGACTGCTCGCTCAACTAAAATCGGTACTTCGGGATGGGCGAGTTTTCGATTTCTGTTTTAGTTCTCTTTTATACGTACATGGTTTGAGTTAACTTTTACTTTTATAGCAAATTGAAATAAAGTTGTAATTGAAGCATTACATGAGATGTGTTATTTTTTCCTCATAGCTAGTTTTAATGTAGTGTATTTCCCAAACCCATTTGTTTTTCTAGATTTTCGCACAAGGCAATGATTCTTTGATGTTTTTTTCAACAATTTTTCGCCAAATAAGAATTTTATTCGTAAAATCCCGTTTTGTTTCTCATGCTAATCGGGCGATGCAGAAATTTTCTGCTGCTTTTGAAATTCGCAAATTGCATAAAATGGGAAATAGCTAAAAATATCTTGGTTGCGCTTTCAAATACAGGCGTTTCGTTTCAGGATATTGTTGTAGTGTACAGATGATTTTAACAGAATAAAATCCATGCAACGTA